AATTATATTTTTCTTTAATAAGATTTCTCGAATATTCAGGCCGGTAGGCGAAAACAAATATACTGTTTAATAATTAAACGGTTCGTCTACTCAAATACGAGCTTGCACTAAAAATAACGTTTAAGTAATAAAATCTGTTAGATTGATAAATAAATAAAAATCCCTTTCTTTAGAAATTGCTTTGATTACTTTAGGAAATTAAACTGAGCAGATATGTTTATTTCGGGCGTCAGAGTTCATGTTTCAAGATACTATTCGACTTGCTTTACCATCGACGCATTCTGTGCCCGAGAGGTCGAAAGCATGTCTGATCTAGGGATGGTTTCCCTTTTTTTTTTATAATAAGACTTCTCGAATATTCTGGCCGGTCGACGAAAATATATAAATATACTCTTTAATAAATGGATGGGGCGTCTACTCAAATACGAGTATCAAATAAAAATAACGTTTAAGTGATAACATTTTTAAGCGTATATAAATTTTGATTTCCAAAATTTTGATTTCTTGTTTTGGGCGGATAGACAGACGTCATGTCGAGTCTCCGGAAAAAAAAACTCAGCCGTCTATGTCACTTTTCACACTTCAGTGCAGTGCATCCATATTCCGTGGCTCTATCTATTTCATTCTGCAAATAACACAGCCCCTAATCACCATCACCCTCATTCTTCGCCCCCACCAAGGTCAAGGTTCGATTCACTGTCAACTATATTCATTTCTTACCGCTTTCCGTCTTCAGCGTTAAATGAAATGTTGCCTTCCATTATAACTCAACATTATAAAACTCGACATTTAAAGAAGTTTTATTTTGTTTAGTTTATTACGATTGTTTGCATGTCTGCTGTTGTTGTTTTCTGACCTGCCACCTCCTAACTTAAGCAGTGCGTGTAACAACTTCGCTGCAGACCTTACATAACCTATCCCGTCTCCTCCTGTCTCGCATATTCGTTCAGGGACAATTAAAATGCATATTGAAGAAATCTCTGCGGGCCATCAATAACTTTATCATTTTCCTTATATTACAATCATTTATTCATTTTATTAATGTGAAACGTTTTCATTCATTTCTTTGAAACATTTTATTTTATTCAATACCCTGTCTCTTCACGACGTAAACGATAATGGCTCTCCACATTTTCCTTTCGTTTTATTATCGGTGGCTTGTCATGAATCCTGGGTAAAGATAGTAAAATTCAGAATAATGTGTCGAGATAGACTGCTAAACAAAGCCAGTTTACTCTAATGGAATATAGATAAGGTTCCTTGCTTTTTCCAAGGTCAAGATCGAGAATCAAGGCAATAGACGAGCAGAGGCCGGGACATTTTTCCGTCGTGATAAGCGTTACGATATCCACACATTCGACGAATACCAACCGTCGATAGAGTGGGGAATTGTCACAGTATTAGTAACGAGGGGGTTTCGAACATCTCATTTAAAATATTATATATATATATATATATATATAAAATTTAGTTGTTAATTTCCTTGTTATTTATTGTCTTGGGTGATCTAAAAGTGATCTTTTAGGGTTTAAAGAATAAATGAAAATGCAAAAAAAAAAAAAAAAATTGTAAAAATAGTTTATTTTCACAAAGCAAATTAAAAGATGAATTTGGGAGTTTCAAAAGTCAAAATATGCAAAATTAGATTTCATTTGCAATGTAATATCATGGATCAATTTAGTTCTTCAAATTTTATTTCATATTCCAAGAAATCAAGAAGAAGGTAACTGATATTTGCATAGGTTTCTACCATATTAATTTTGTTTTGTTTTTTCTACGGCTTATCAACCTTTTTTTTAGGTTGTCTAAAGCCAATAACAATTGTAAGAATTTTCTTGAGATAATAAGAATTTAGTGATACAAATCCTAATAATTAAACTATAATAATATATAATTAAAAGGAATAGATTCATACCATTTCCAAAGGTCTGTCTATATTTCTGTGATGAGGTATTGTAAGTATACTATTTACCTTGTTCGGACCTCACCCTTGTTGTCATATTTACGGCGTTTCGGCCGTTATACACTTCGGCCTTCTTCAGGTGATTGGAATTTCGAACAGAACTCTTTATTTCATCTGCGTGTCATGCCTCTTCGGAATATCTTAGTTTTAGTTTTAGTTATTTCCTTTTATTAACTCAATTTGGAGAAGTTTTTTTTCCTCTCTGATGTGGCCAGGTATTGAACTCACAAGTATTTGGATCAAGTCTCTGAATAACTTTAGAAAACACTTTTATCCACTGGGCCATGGGCCCTTGGGAGTATGTGTGCGTAAGTGAAAACAATGAACCCGACTGGAATTGAAACTCGGCTCCCCGATTTCCAATTTCACGCTCTTATCCATTACCCCACCCGCATATCAAAGCTTAGAGCACCTGGTATTCACATGCGTCTACATATCTATATTCGTTAATAAATGGATGGAGCGTCTACTCAAATACGAGTATCAGCTAAAAATAACGTTTAAGGGATGTAGAATAACAATACAATAAACAACACTTACCGGTGTAAGAGTCCCAGCTAGCGTCCAGCTGGCAGACAAAAATAAAGCAGGTTGTAACTTAATACAAACCCTGCAAACTAACTGAGGAATCAAGCTGGTATTTATATAGAAATACTTCCACTCAGCTACCAGCAGCCAATCACAGCCCAAGCAATGAGATGCTCCATTGCACCATAAATAGCTCTCTTTCTCAATGTTGAATTAGTATTCACTCAGCATGCTCCACAACTGAGTGTTTATCTTGACCACGTGATTGTTCGACAAGTGATAACATTTTTAAGCGTATATAAATTTTGATTTCCAAAATTTTGATCTCTTGTTTTGGGCGGATAGACAGACGTCATGTTGAGTCTCCGGAAAAAAAACTCAGCCTTCTATGTCACTTTTCACACTTCAGTACAGCACATCCATATTCCGTGGCTCTATCTATTTCATTCTGCAAATAACACAGACCCTAAACACCACCGCCCAATCTGTGACCAGGGTCGACGTTGCTTAAATCCGATGACCGTACAAGAATCGGTGTTTCAATTTGTTGAGGTCGTAAGCCGTTTCTACCACAATTATTATTACAGTCTTTACGAATATAAATAATGTAACGAGAAATTGACTCTGTTGTTACTGGTTAGAAGATGACGACGAAGAAGATAATCGGAAAAACAGGACCCCCAAAATTTGTCCACACTGAATCAGTGACACTAACGTAATCGAAGAGGTTTATGCAACCTCCATGAAAGACAGTTACTCAATATTTGAAATGAAAGTTTAGAATAACGTATCTTTAGCCCTTTGGTGATCATTGTTCTCCGCATATTTCTTTCTCCATAACATATAAATTAACATGACTTTTTTGTGTAAGGATTTGCCGTTTCCTTCTCAGCGGTTTTCAAGTCTGTTTAATCCTTATTTTAAACTGGTTGTTAACCAAGGCTGGCGTTCCTAGTTTACCTGAAAGCAACAGACTAGGCTGGAATTTGAAATCGGCTTGACGAATTCACTTTTGGGGTCGACAGCCATTACACTAACCACTCGTAGGTATGGAAGGACAGTTTTAACAAAATAATTGACAAAAAACAACGTGGGATTATTCGTTAAAGGGTCAATATTCAATAATTTTCTCATCTTTGTTACTATCTCCCCCTTTTGGGGTTGCTGGGCTTCTATATATTACGCTTTTTCCACCACCCCGACGTTTTTTTTTTTTTTTTTTTTTTTTAGACAGGCTATGAAACGGAACTGTAATTTTGTGCTCTTAATTTTTAAGTTTCTTTCTTTCCAACTTTAATGGAATATCCAGAAAACCTTGTTTCTTTTTTCAACTTTCGACGTTATTTCATGCTGTCATATTCGGCTGATGCTTTTAACAAATAAACAAAATGGTAAAGTGTCATCCCCAGGGAGACTGACGCCCCTGTCTACCAGAAGATTTTCTTCCACAGACTTTTCGCACTTCGAAAAAAAAAAAAAAAAAAAAATTAATTTTTTTTTTTTTTTCCTAAGTGAGAAAATGGCTTAAAGTTGTATATACTTGTTTCGGTCGGTGGAGGGGGGAAATACGAATTCATATTTGCGCATTGAGGGTCTTTTTGTATTTACACAAGAATCGATGTGTGTGAGTGAGCAACTTTTGAGCTTTCAGTAATTCTAGCTCTTCATTCACTGTCCAATTATTCCTTCGCATCTAACTTAAACACAAACAATCCATCATTTGTTTTTTCGTTAAGAATATTAACGGGCCGATTAATCAAGGGGGTTCCTTTGAGATTTGAACCAAGGCATTCGGGAAACCGACTCCTCGGCTTCTACTCCCCGCTTTTGGTAGAACAGAACTTCTCACAAATGCCGAATGTAGAATTTTTAAGCGGGAAGGAAATGACAGGAAGACAGAAAACAGAAAAAAAGATTAAGAAATAAAAAAAAAATCGAGAAAGAAAGTAAGAAAGAAGGAAACAACTACAGAAAAAAAAGAAAGGAAAACTGGAGCTACAAAGAGAGAAAAAGAAAAAGTAAAAGACTGGAAGAGAGAATGAAACAGATAGTGAGAGATGGATAGGTAGAGAGAGATAGACTAACAAAAGAGAAAGGAAAGAACGAGGAACAAGTAAGAAAGAAAGAGAGTTAGATAATAAAGACTGGGGAAAGAGAAGAAGAACAAAAATAAGGAAAAATTAAGAGCGAAAGTATGAAAAAGAGAAAAAAAAGAAAAAAGGAAAATATATATATATATATATATATATATATATATATATATATATATATATATATATATATGTGTGTGTGTGTAAAATAGTTTTAAGGTGTACTATAGTATGAGAGGAAAATGGTCAATATAAGCAGTGTGGACTGGACATAGGTGTCAAAGTTGAGGGTCTACAATCTGTTTCATACTTAAACACAATCGTAAGGTTAGATTCCCACACAAATATATATATATATATATATATATATATATATATATATATATATATATATATATATATATACGAAGAAGAGAAAATTATAAAAACAAAAAGGGAGAGAGGGAGAGAGAACAAAAAGCGATAGAACGAGAGAGAGAATTAGACAAGTACAGCGAGCAAGATAGAGAACAGAAAATTATGGGAATAGACAGAAAGTGAAACAGTAGATGCGAGATAGTGAAAGAGAAACAAGCACTAAGTAAGAGAGAGAGAGAGAAGGTGAGATAGATTGAGGAAGGAGAAATAAGAGAGAAAAATAGAGAGTTGAAGATGGGTCTACATTTGAGGCGATAGATAAACGTTGTTCGGATTCATAGTTGAAATATTATTCGGGTTCATACTTGAGTCAAGAGGTAAATATTCGAGATCATACTTGAGTCTATGGGCAAATATTATTCGGGTTGATACTTGAGTCTATGGGTAAATATTATTCGGGTTCATACTTGAGTCAATTGGTAAATATTGGTTGGGATTACACTGAGTATATAGGTAAACATTGGTCTTGTTCATACTTGTGTATATAAGCAAACATTAATCGGGTTGAATTAACACATCATTAAACATCGGTCGTCCATAGCCTACTCTATTCTATTATGAGTTCTTACCACGAAACAATATATATATATATTTTTTTAAGCATTACGCCCCAAGCAAGGCGTGAAGCCACTAGGATGCAGGGGGTTTCAGAAGATTTGGAGCGAGAGCAGATAGGAATGATAGAAGAAAGGATGAGGAGAGGGATAGTGGGTAGATCAAGGTAACTGGAGATGTCGGTTGACATTACATTTGAATAGTTGGAGATTATAGCTCTCAGGGAAACAGTAATTGGGGAGGGTGTTCCACTGGCGAGAGGTACGAGGTATGAAATTATTGGAGTAGAACAGACGGCTACATTTAAAAGTTTCTACAGTGTAAGGGTGGGGGCGGGATGCTAGCCTCGTCGGGCGCTTGAATTCATGGAGTCTGGGGACCAGTGAAAGCAGCTCATCAGAGCAATTACCATGGAAGTATTTGTAGAAAAAGACAGAGAGAGGCGACGGCGCGTCTGTGAGAGAGTGACTGCAGACGAGACGCCAGATATATATATATATATATATATATATATATATATATATATATATATATATATATATATATAAAAAAAGTTAATGCTCATAGTTGAGTTAGACCAGGAGACAGTAGTATTTAAAAGTGCTCAATAAAAGTATAAAAAATAAAAAAATAATAATTTTTCTTTGACCGTTATATTATATTATATATATTATAAATCGGCTAGAGTTACTGTAAATTTAGGTCTGTCAGGCTGTGCATTCGAGTGTCTTAAACGAAATTTACCTTCTTTATTCTAATTGTATCTTCTCCCCCCACCTATGGGCAGGACAGACCAGGTTCTATAGCCTTGGATGACAAGTGGTCTACTGCAGAAAGAAATGGCAACCTACTGCTGAAAATAATCTGCCTCATCTGTCATGTATCGAAAAATACATGATCGCCTGCTGCGGGAAATAATTTGCCTTGTCAGTTATGTATCGAAAGATACATGATCGCCTAAGCGTGTATCCCGCATGGCACATACGTGACTGACTGACTGACTTTCCAGTCGAATCCATTACATTTACTTACATGCTAATACCCTTGGAAAAGGTATGCATCCTATTCTTTTCTCTCAAGCTATGGATAAATAGCAGGGCAGGCCGGGTTCTTTAGCCCTGGATGGCAACTGGTTTACCGCAGAAAGAAATGGCAACCTACTGCGGGAAATAATCTGCCTCATCAGTCATGTATCGAAAAATACATGATCGCATACTGCGGGAAATAATTTGCCTCGTCAGTCATGAATCGAAAGATACATGATCGCCTAAGCGTGTATCACGCATGGCACTTAACCGACTGTTATAGCATATAATACCAACTAGCGTGATCCCCATCAGTCTGTAAGTGCGTGTCATATGAAGAATGATGTACGCCAAACGAAAGGTTCTAAAAATCGACAAGAACTATGAGAAAATCGTTCAATGATGACTAACCAATTCGCAAGATCAGAGACCTTGCACTAACGATCGCGACTCGTAAACGCACTTCACACTCACGCAAGAAAAACGAGTTCTGTTTATTTATCTTATTTATTTTGGGCAACTTAAGTTTCGTGCGTGCGGACACACCAGAAAATAATCCGAATTCATTAGGCGCTGATGTGGCCCGTGTGCACGTGATAAGCCTTCTGTATCAGTAGTGTTCAGAACAGGCCCCTATTGTGGGTCAGTCCTGTGGGTCTGGAGTATAGTCAGATAAGCGATTTAGCGGGTGTACAGTGTGTGTGCTTGTAGAACAAGAAAACTGAGGCTTCGGTTATCACCAGCGTAACTTCTTCAGAGTTATTGTACATTTCCATCTCCCTTTTTCCTGTTCTGGTTTGCTTTATCCTCTTTTGCCCACCTTCTCCTCCCCCTCCTCCTCCTCCTCGATGACATCGTTTTGAAAGGCACACTTGTCTTCCTATTCCTCTTGTTCGTTTGGAAATCATTATTATTATGATAATTTTCATTGTGCTCTGGTTTCAACTTGGTGAAAATAAATAAGGCTAAGACCATCGCTCGCCTTTGTTACTCTTAAATCGTATCTTGTAGGCTTTCGTCCAGTGCTGAGAAGGTGGCAGTAGCAAAAACAATAATGTGAGATAAGGGAAGGGGAATACAAAATGGTGTCGTCTGAAGAAAGAAAGAAAGAAAAAAAAAGGAAAGAAAAGATGGTGGCTAAAGTCGAAATGTAACGTGAACTTTTATTGCTGAATATTGAAAGTGGATTTGAGAATTGCAGAAAAATCAAAGAATCGATTAAGATCATGATAATGACATCAGTAAAAAAAAAATAAAAAATAAAAAATAAAAAAAATTACACCTGTTAATGGCTAGATCTAACCGTAAGTTCAGTGCTAAAAAAATTCTATCGCACTTCTCGCTTGTGGAATTCTCTTCCGACTTCTTGCTTCAAAAGTTTAAGTGCAATGTTAATCTTAATTTCTGTCTTCTTAATTCCTGTTCTTATATTGTTCTCTCTCCTTAATAATGTTTTCCTTATCTCATATTATCTCACATTTAGCCACCTCTTGCGTCGTAGTGGCTTTATTGCTTTGTTTGATGTGAAATGATTAAAAAAAAAGTATTTAATAGTTTAATACTTTTTATAAGAGAGAGAGAGAGAGAGAGAGAGAGAGAGAGAGAGAGAGAGAGAGAAGAAATAAATAATGGTGAAAATAAAATAATGGATACAGAGTGATGGTTAACAAGTTTGTCACCGATAAGATACGTATAGTGAGCAAGTTCTTCACTAGGTTCACGTTGACTCTAATTTTATACGAGATAGTCTTTGCTTAGTAAAGATCTACTTAGAGTGACTAACAGAGAGCAATGTTTAGCGAACTTGCGATGTTGTCCATTAGTTAGTGCGTTTCATTTTCACTGGATCGCCTTTATTGTTTTTAATCAAAAGTAAATAAACAGCCTTACAGGGCGCATACTAAGGGCTAATAATTAGCGAGCTAGTCTCAAATAGTATTAGCTAGTATTTTGAACTTGATACTTACTAGTTATCTCACAAGTCTGTTTTTATATTTGATTAACCGAATTCAATACCTTCAGTTGACCTGTCAGCGGAGCTTTGAACATACAGGCTTCTACTTTGCATCGTCTGAAGAGGTTTTAAACCCCACAAAATTTTCTACTTTTTAGATACGAGTATAAAACGGACTTATTCTCATCTATTTTATTCCAAGCCTAAACCTGTCCTGGGTATAACGATAAACTACGTCCAACAGCAAGGCCTCTGATCAGGATGTTTTAAGGAGTGTGAAACCACATCTTAATTGCTGGTGTTCCCAGATCCCTCTAACCCCGGGTGGTAGCACCTGTTAGGGTCCCAGCTATGGATAAATAATTAACACCCCAAAATGGGATCAAAACATTATGAAAGTGTAAAAATAGGTTTTAATACCAGAAATACTTTGTAAAAATATCATTACCAGCAATAAGGTTTTGAAGAAAAAAATTATTACCAGCAATACATTTTTGAAAAAAATATTACCAGCTATACTTTTTTGAAAAAAGAAAAAAAATTACAAGCGGTACATTTTTGAAGAAAGATATTACCAGAAATAGATTTTTGAATGAAAAACATTACCAGCAATACATTTTTGAAAAAAATATTACCAGCAATAAAATCTTGTCGGCATTAAATAACATATTGAGGTTGATAAGCCGTAAAACAAAACAAACCAAACCAAATCAAACCTAAACTTAGATGCATGTCAACTTTGTTTATTTTTGTCTAAAGCTGGATGCAGAGCTATCGTTTTTATTCTTGTCTAACGCCGGATGCATGTCTACCATTTTGGTTCTAGTCTAAAACCGGATGCAGGTCTACCATTTTTTTTTATTCTAGTCTAAAACCCGACCTCTGTTTTCAGTTTTTATTCTAGTCTAAAACAGATGGGAAAATCAAGACAAAAGAAATCATAATAATGAAGGAATCGTTACAAGAATAAAACAAAGTATGTGTGTTTGGGTGTGGGGGTGGTGGTGATCGAAAGAATAAAACAAAATACAGTAAAGAAAAAAAAAGGAGCTGTAAGTATAGGGGACAGGACGAGTTTTTTCCATTCCCAACCTTTATTTCTCTGTCCGAGAAGCAGGGAAGATTAAAAAACAAAGAAGAGTCGATCGAAATAAAAAGAATCCGGTTAAAAGAAAACGTCAAGGAAGCCGTCTAAGCTGAAGTGAAGAATAAAAGAGAAGACGAGCGATGGCGGAAAGGAAGCAGAAGAGATAATGAAAATAGAAATCAAATCTTGTAGGCTTTCAATTTGTGCAGCAAGTGAATAGAGAAATAAAATCGTGTAAGAAGACAGAATGTGTAGTTGTCAGTAAGAGAATAAACTGAAGATGCGAACTACGAACTAAAGACGACAAAATCAAACAAGTACAGAAGTCTAAATATCTGGGAAGTGTTTTAACAAAGGACGGAAATTGTAGATACTGAAAACCTAAAGCGAACTGGCATCGCGAAAGATGCCTTCTAAAAGCTACAAAAGGATTAGGCATCAAGAAAAATTCATTAGAAAGAAAAAAGATTGCAGAACTGCTTTATAATATCAATCCTTCTATATAGCAGTGAGTGCTGGATATTTTCTTCAGAGATGAAAAGGGACTTGAGGTAACAAAAACACTGAGAAAAAGTACTGAACTGCAATTTAATACCAATTTCATTAGAAGGAAAGAAATTACTGCAGAAATTATATATATATATATATATCAGTTCTGCAGTATTTTCTTTCCTATATATATATATATATATATATATATTATCAATCCTTCTATATAGCAGTAAGTGCTGGACATTTTCTTCAGAGATGAAAAGGGGACCTGAGGTAACAGAAACACTGAGAAAAGTACTGAACTGCAATTTAATACCAATTTCATTAGAAGGAAAGAAAATACTGCAGAACTAATATATATATATATATATATATATATATATATATATATCAGTTCTGCAGTATTTTCTTTATATATATATATATATATATATATATATATATATTATCAATCCTTTTATATAGAAGTGAGTGCTGGACAATTTCGTTACAGATGAAAAGGGGACTTGAGGTAACAGAAACACAGAAAAAAGTACTGAACTGCAATTTAATAGCAATCTTTCTGTGTGGCAGTGAATGCTGGCAAATTTCTTCCCAGATGAAGAAAAGATTTGAAGGTAACAGATCAGTCACGTCCGGAAGGAACGGCACATTGAAAAAGAAAAAAAGAAGACTTCGAATTTTTTCCAGTAAGTATTCAGCATTCGTTCATAGTTCTCCATAACTTCCTGTTATGTGTATCTCTTCGTAACATTTTTTATCATTATTTTCTCCTATTCTCTGTTTTGCCACCCATTTATACAAGATAGATTACTCGCTGTTTCTTTCTCCTTCCGGCCTTCAATATGTCATACTGATATCAAATTCTGCAAGTCCAATTTTCTCATTAGGCGTTTTAGAAATTTCAATTGTCTGATTCTGATGCTAATTACAAGGGCTTTTGTGTCCTTTTTCCTTAAAGCTTAATCGTTGCTTACATTCTTGGTCTATGCTATTCTTGGCAGCCGTCTGTAGAAATTCATCTCTGTTGCCTCACGTTTTGTGTACGTGTGAGCCGTCCTGGGTATGACGATAAACTACATCTGCGTCCTGGGTATGACGATAAACTATATCCGACAGCAATGTTTCTGATCAGGAGGTTTTGAAAAGCATGGAACCACCTCTTACTTGCTGGTGTTCCCAAGTTCACCCTGACCCGGGGTTGTAGGACCTGTCAGGGTCCCAGCTATGGGCATATAGATACCTCCTCCAAAAGGGGTCAAAACACTATGAAAGTATAAAAATAAGTTTTAATATCAGCAATACTTTTTGGGAAAAATTATAACCAGCAATATATTTTTGAAGTAAAAAAAAATTATTCCCTGCAATACATTTTTGAAAAACCAAAAATGCTACCATCAATAAAAATCTTGTCGGCATTAAATAAGCCATTGAGGTTGATATTCCGTAAACCATACTAAACCAATTTACATGTAAGGAAATTGTTTAACAATCACTGGACTGATATTACACGGCAGTTAAGCATTATTTTCTTTGCGTTTAACGATATATTATTCGAATTTAATAGTGAACTACTAATGCCTAAATAATTCTTGTTGCGTTATTTACTAAGCCTTATTTAGTAGAAAGCAAAAGCATAGTATTAAAAATGTAGAAACCTACATTAAAAATTGAAAGGACAATAGAGTGCCAGACTACTGAGTAGACTATTTACATTATTCGGACTATTGTCCTCATCTTGGTCGCCATATTTATTACAATGTTGTACGCTCAGGCTTTCTTCAGGTGGTTGGAATGTCGAACTGAGCCCTTTATTTCGCTCGCTGGGTTAGACTGTTCTAGTTCCATGTGTCATGTCTAATGGTTGTCAGTTATCTCCTATTAATTCCCCTCTCCACTGATAACTGAAAACAGACATTCATTAAACATGGCACGTGGAACTAGAACAGTCTACAACAGTGAGCAAAATAAAGGGTTCAGTTCGACATTCCAACCACCTGAAGAAGGCCGGAGCGTACAGATACTGAAAGGCCGAAACGTTGTAATAAATATGGCGACAAAGATGAGGACAATAGTCCGAATAATGTAAATAGTGTACATAATACCTCATCTCAGAAATATAGACAGATACTGAAAGGCCGAAACGTTGTAATAAATATGGCGACAAAGATGATGACAATAGTCCGAATAATGTAAATAGTGTACATAGTACCTCATCTCAGAAATATAGACAGATACTGAAAGGCCGAAACGTTGTAATAAATATGGCGACAAAGATGAGGACAATAGTCCGAATAATGTAAATAGTGTACATAATGCCTCATCTCAGAAATATAGACAGATACTGAAAGGCCGAAACGTTGTAATAAATATGGCGACAAAGATGAGGACAATAGTCCGAATAATGTAAATAGTGTACATAATACCTCATCTCAGAAATATAGACAGATATTACTGAGTAGATTTATTACAATACAAGAACACAAGTGGGGAAGAAGCCTCGTAAGGATCGAAGGCACTGGAGTAGTAACCACTTTAAACCTTATCAAACCGATAAAACGTGAGAAGCCCGTAGCTAATCTACCGCTATTTCAATGGCAAATGTTCTGGCGAACTGCATTTCTTATTTCCACTAGTTCTGGCCTTCACAGCAGTACTAGTTTGGCAGCTAGGTCTCATCATTTTACAAATTGAATTGGCTAGATGTAACCGTAAGTTCTATGCTAACAATTTCTCCTCTCGATTGTGGAACTCTTTTCTGATTTCTGGATTTCCAGTTAACTTCGATTTTCAAATATTTAAAATGCAATATCAGTCGTTATTTTCTGTTGCTTTAATTCCTGTTCTTTTATTGTCCCCTCTCCTGTTTTTCCTCAGATTCCTTCGCACCTAGTAACCCGATCCGTCTTAGTGCTTATTTCGTTTTGCTTTGGTTGACATAATTTAAAAAAAAAAGAAATTTTTTTATAATACTTTATTAAATAAAATAAAATGCCACTCAGATAGAAAGAAAGGAGGAAAAAAAATAGAAGAAATATGAGAAAATTCAAGGAAAATAATGAAAAAACAAAAGTAAAAAGGAAATAAAAAGGGAAAACACATAAAAGTAAAAAGAAGATAAAAGCGACAGAAAAAAACATTGATAAAGAATATAAAGAAAACAAAGAGAAGAGAAAGAAAAACAAAATTAAAGAAACAAAAAGGGGAAAAGAAGAAAAAAGAAAAGAAAAAACAAGGAAAGTAAAAAGGAAAAAGTAGGAAAGGAAAAAAGTAGGAAAGGAAAAATGAAAGAAAGGGAAAAGAAGGAAAAGAAAAAAGAAAGGAAAAAAGAAGGAAAAGGAAAAAGAAGGAAAAGGAAAAAGAAGGAAAAGAAAAAAGAAGGAAAGGAAAAATGAAAGAAAGGGAAAAGAAGGAAAAGAAAAAAGAAAGGAAAAAAGAAGGAAAAGGAAAAAGAAGGAAAAGAAAAAAGAAGGAAAGGAAAAATGAAAGAAAGGGAAAAGAAGGAAAAGAAAAAAGAAAGGAAAAAAGAAGGAAAAGGAAAAAGAAGGAAAAGGAAAAAGAAGGAAAGGAAAAATGAAAGAAAGGGAAAAGAAGGAAAAGAAAAAAGAAAGGAAAAAAAGAAGGAAAAGGAAAAAGAAGGAAAGGAAAAAAGTAGGAAAGGAAAAATGAAAGAAAGGGAAAAGAAGGAAAAGAAAAAAGAAAGGAAAAAAAGAAGGAAAAGGAAAAAGAAGGAAAAGAAAAAAGAAGGAAAGGAAAAAAGGAGGAAAGGAATAAGAAGGAAAAGAAAAAAAAGGAAAAAAAGAAGGAAAAGGAAAAAGAAGGAAAAGGAAAAAGAAGGAAAGGAAAAACCAGTAAAACTAAAAGAAGAGAAAGAAAAAAATGAGTAATAATCGAAGGAGAAAAGGCAGTGAATAGAAGAAGAAATGTAGATAAAAGATAAAAGACAAAAGAAAGGAAGGTTTTTTTTATCTTCTTGTAAAATATGCAACAGAAAAAAATGTCGGAAAACATGATAAAGAAAGAAGTGGGCAAAAGAAGGAAAAATGCAATGTAAGGAAATTTAAGAAAAATGAAAAAAAAAAAAGACAACAGAAAAAGGAAAAAGAAAAGGAAGGAAAGAAACAGAAAAAGAAGAGAAAAGAAAATAAGAAAAAGAAAAGGAAACTAGAAGAAAAAGAAACAAAAGAAAAATAAGAAAAAAAGAAAATAAAAACATAAAATGAAAAAAAAATATGCAAAAAGCAAACGAACAAAAGATGAAAAAAGGAGAAATATGAAGAAAAAAAAAGAAAAAGAAGGAAAAGAAAAATAGAAGATGATATAGCAGAAAAAGAAACTCTTGTTTACTGTCTAAATGAACACCCACCTTTCACTTCATTATCCGTCCATCCAACTACATGCCTATCCCTCGAACTGTTTACCGTCAGTCTGTCCAGCAAAACAAAGCACTCCACTAATCCCGTATATTTTTTTCGCGGGCTCTCTTCCCGTACCGATATTGCTTGCAGACAAAAGAGAAGTAAGAACGTATTCGAAAATCCTCGATTTTACCTGCGTTCGAACAATAATAATTGGAGTGGGCAGTGGGGTGAATAACTACCCCAGTCAGGATGCAAGTTTCGTATTTATCTTTGCAGCTTGCTACAAAAGAGCCTTAGCCTAATAATTTAAAAAAAGAAGCATTTACTTTACACAACAGATGTTGATTTTTCAAATCAGTTTACTTCCTTGTCGATTCACATAAACCAACGCTTCTCCATTAATTACAAAAAGATTACACGGCGAAAATTTCAAATAAAAATCAACATTAAGGAATGAAAGATCCACCTGTGTATTTCTCTCTATTACTGCAGGGACTAAGTGTGTGTATATATATATATATACATATATAAAGAAAGAACAGTAAGTTATATAATCCGGTGTTCTTATTGATATTTTTATTTTTACAAAACAGTGCTCAATGTAATCATTCAGATAAGGGGTGGTAGCGTGTTCATTTTTATTAACTTTTGTTGTATCATTTATTAGCTACTTAGTTAATTAAAATGAACATGCTACCGCCCCTTATCTGAATGATTAGATTTCTCTTGGTCCTTGGAAACAGTGAATTATGAATTTTTGTGTGCGTTTAAAACTCAGTAAATTCAAAAAAATAAGTTACTCCAATATTCGCTTGAAAAGGATGTTTTTAATTTAATTACAAAATTAAATTTGAAGTTTTTAAAACATAGTTATTACTGTGTAGCGAAAAAAACATATTTTAAACCAGTTATATATATATATATATATATATATATATATATATATATATATATATATATATATATATACTATTTACATTATTAGGACTATTGTCCTCATCTTTGTTGCCATATTTATCCCAACGTTTCAGCCGTTGTACGCTCTGGCTTTCTTCAGGTGGTTGGAATGTTGAACTGAACCCTTTATTTCGCTCGCTGGGTAGACTGCTCAAGTTCCACGTGCCATGTCTAATGGATGTCAGTTATCAGTTATCTACTGTTAATTCCCCTCTCCAAGTTCTCCACCACCTTAAACAGGTATTGAACTCACACTCTATGGGTCCTGTCACGGTATATAACTAACGCCTTTATCCACTGTGCCATGTGTCCTTGAGGAATAGAAAGGTATGAATCCTCTTCTTCTTCCCCCAGCTATGGGTAAATAGCGGGATAGCCTTGTATGGCAAAACCTGCGTAGGGTCGTTTGTAGACCTTGTGGCACCTGTTGCATCAGGTCTCTGTGTCAGGCTCTTCAAATAGTTGAACTGGCTCTGCACAAAGCTTTCACCACTATAATCAAATCTTATGTACAGGTGTCTGGCTGGAACTGAGTTGCTTGATCCTCATTCGTCGAATTCGAGTCCAACATATATAGTGATGATGATGATGATGATTTAATCTCAAGAAAGACGATAATGCCACCAAAACGCCTGGGTGTGGAAGAGACTTAGAGGACTTTAGTGAGGAAAAGGGGATAATAGATCTTGACCTTGTTTGTCGTAGTCTCTGAATATGGAATCTAGTGAAGTCCATAATGTGTTCAATATCAGAGGTTGGCAGTGAAGATTCAGAGAAAGTAGCGGCCGTTCAGTAATTCTTTAAATCTTCGATATCAGAGGTTGGCAGTGAAGATATTTTGGGAGAAGAAACAAAATGGCTGCCTTTATACACGTTGGATTGAATATTTTGAGCCTTCTGATTGGTTAACCCTTCTATTGGTAAACTATGAAATGAATCAGCTCATTTTGGATAGCTCACCAATATATAATACCCAAAAATCCTAACAATAGAATAACAAGTTTAAAGAAGAAAAAAGATGCCGATTGTCGTTACATTTAAATTCTTGAAGATTTTAGGTGACAGGGAAGCAATAAATCACAAGAGGTTTCCACAAGCGAGAAGTGCGAGAAAATAAACTATTAAAACAGAACTCACGGTTGAATCTAGCTATATCAACGCTAAAACAATAAAACCTAGTTGCCAATTCAGACGAGCGGTGTATTTGAGAAAATTGATAGTCGATTGATACTTTCCTACATCTTCTCATACATTTATTTGAAGCCAAAAGATATTTGGGATTCTAAGAATAATTCGGTTTTTGCGAGTGTCTATTGCAGTTACAATGTTTTCAGATAGCAATGATTTTTTTCCAGATGCAAGCTCTACTATTTAACCCATAGTTGGGGGTTGCGAAAATTAAAGTCAGATAGACAAGTATTTTGAACATTTCTTCACGTAGTAACTATTATCACTCTATTTATTTTAAATATTGAGCACTTTCTTTAGAAAACACGGCAATGCCCTGTAATTTATTGGATTACGTGATTTGTTAGGCGTGTTATTATATACATATATATATATATATATATATATATTACAGTTCAGAAGTTTGAAGCCACCCCAGGAATTAGCATGGTAGAAGCGAGAAAAAAAAGAAAAAAAAAACTAACAGAAGAGTGAAAAAATAAAAAGTGCTCTAAGACTCATTCAAAACAGAATGCAATCAATTATCAAACTTATACTTTGAGAAGCTTTTGCAACAAGTGCCAAATATATGTGGTGCAGTAATTAAGTTTAAAGGAGGATATTTCGACTTGAGCAAAATTTAATCATAAAATGCTTTTTGATAATAAAAAATCATGTCTGACTTCTTTTTTTTTAGCCATGTATAATAATTTTCTCTTATTTACATTATTCGGACTATTGTTCTCATCTTTGTCGCCATATTTATTACAACGTTTCAGCCGTTGTACGCTCCGGCCTTCTTCAGGTGGTTCCAACCACCTGAAGAAGGCCGGGGCGTACAAAGACCGAAACGTTGTAATAAATATGGCGAAAAAGATGAGGACAATAGTCCGAATAATGTAAATAATGTACATAATTCCTCATTTCAGAAATATAGATAGATACTAATTTTCTGTTATTTAAACGGACAAAAAACTACTTTTTGGTTCAATTAAAAAAAAATTACTAGGTGTGGCCTCAAACGTTTGAACTGTAGTCTATATATATATATATATGTGTGTGTGTGTGTGTGTGTGTGTGTGTGTGTGTGTGTGTGTGTATGCGATCCCCCATGCTAAATCCTACTTCGAAGTTTGATTAAAATAATCATTCTCCTGGATTCGAAAACCACAGTCACTGGGAAATGACCAATTATCTGACAGAAGCCAGCCTTTAGGCATTTATATGCGTGTACGATTTCATTTTCAGTTGTAAGGATTCTGCGCAGAGTGTAAGGCTTCTTGTTAGGAAAACTCGAATGGAACTCCGAGAAGTATAATTGTTTAACTATTGGAACAACCAACACTGGACACTAAGAAAAGAAAATCTCGTCTGCTTGAAAATTCATCCATAATATTTGCTTGGTATACTGTTTTTTATACGTGAAAGATGTACCATCAACCAAAAATAGAAAGGAATATAAGATAAAGAGGCGTCTTCTTACGGGATTTATTTAAAATATACAACGAGAAGTATGTTTCCTACCAGGATTTATTAACAGTAGTCCCAATCTTAACATAACTTATAAAGGAAAACGGTAGGAACACCTACAGAGGGTAAGCGAGAAGAGAAAAATAATCATCAATTGCAAAAAGACAAAATATAGGAGTGTCGAAGAGGAAGATTCCAGGATGTGAGCTTCTAATTGGTGACCCCAAAATCAAGTAATTACGAAAATATTAAATATCTAAGTATTTTAAATATAAGAAGTACAAACATTAAGAGTTTGTCAAGAGCCATGATTGGCCACATTCTGAAGTGACACTGCATATAGATGATTTATATAAATAAATACGGGTTTCGAAATAAAATTAATAATTTGCCGTGATAATATCTCTCAAAGATTAGCATAAAAGGTTTACTTCTTGTTATTTCTTTCATTAATATATATATATATATATATATATATATATATATATATATATATATGTGTGTGTGTGTGTGTGTGTGTGTGTAAATATTTTCAGATGGAGTATATCCGTAGAAGAGACAAAATGAATAAAAAAGAGACAAGAGGAAAAACTATATTTAGTCGACGCGTTTCGTTCTCTGAGGGAATTTATCAAGGCAATGTATAATTTATTTTGCTGTACATTTTTATATACACAAAGACGATGGTGTCACTGGTTTATCAAGGCTTGAAAATTTGAGAATGTTCTTGAATGTTCATCGGGTGGTTGGAATGTCAGTCAAAGTGTCCTAATTTAAATTGTGATGAAAAGTAAAGTGAGCAAGTAATATTCAATAATATGAATATTGTTTGGAGTGTGATTAAGTTGTTATTGTATAAGATGGATGTATCTTCTCAAAGGTTTGAAGTGAAGCAGTTTTTTTATATGAATATATAGTATTGTTTTTCCTCTTGTTTCTTTTTATTCATCTCTCTCTCTCTCTCTCTCTATATATATATATATATATATATATATATATATATATATATATATGTGTGTGTGTGTGCTTTATAAAAGATGATTAACAAGGCATATTGATTAAGCTTTTTCTTAAATTTTTCTTTCAGTGGTACATGTGGTTTCTGGATATAGAGTATGTGAAATCTGTCTAAATGATTTGTAGATCCGTACACTTTCGATTGTTCTATTAACGATTATAAAGGAAGTTTTTTGTTCAATTGAATATGTATTTTTTAATTTTTTTTTTCATTTCTTTTTTATGTCTGTTTAGGGATGGAAATGTTATTAATTTCCGGCCATGATCAGCACGTTGTGGCCGTGTTAATAATTGATACTATTGAGAGTTGATGTTTTTTTTCTTTCTTTTTTTTTAATATTAACGCTCTCATTATTCTTAATAATTTTTTTTTGCATATTGATGAGTCTATTATGTCCGTATTTTCCAGAAGTATGTTCCAGACAGAGGTTGTTAGGCTTCCGTATCTATTTAAATGTATAGAACAGGAACTTCCCAAATACATAATATATATATATATATATATATATAAAAGAGACTGTCTCATATCGAGAATATTTAACATCGAAAAACATAAAGGAGAAAAAAATGAATTATTTTTAATAATATGTGGAAATCTCCACCCTTTACCTGATGACGGTCACGAGACCAGAAACCCGTGTAGTAAAATTATGGAAAATAAAGCATAATATGTTTTTTAAAAAATCCACATTACAACCAAAAACGTTTACGGTATCTCTCCTTTGATATATATATATATATATATATATATATATATATATATATATATATGTTGACAATAAACTGCAAGCAGAAGTCGGCTTTAGATTTCTATTTAGGCGCGGCACGCCAGGAAAGATGGCCAAATGTATGTACTTCAGCGATCGACGAACAATAAATAAGGCGATGAAGCCAGGCCTTTAATTCACTCTACCATTTCTTTCTACTTTATTCGTTCTTGTCTGTATTATCAAAGAACACCATTAGAAGGTTCAGAGTGAAGATTAATACCTAAAGAACGCTACCGGAAGGAAATAAATAATTAAAAAAAAAAGAGAGAAAAAGAGAAAGTAGAACTCTGTCAGAGTAAATCTACAGCAAAAAGACATAAGTCAAAAACACCATGACTCGTCTGATGTATCCCATAATTCAATCGTATCCATGGGGGCGTCCGCAGAAGCAAGTAAAACTCGCTGATACGGAGAACGAAAAAAAAATAAAAAAGAACACCACACATTTCGAAGCGAGTTCACAGATGTTAAGATGAAGCCAAAATGAAATAATTTAAAGCAAATAAGAAAAAATTCTAAAAAAAAAAAATGACACAAAAATAAACAAACAAAAAAAAACAGCGTGAACTAAAGGGAGTCGACAGATATAATTATATGACTAGTAAATAGAACCGAACAACTCTCCACTAGTTATGCTCATGTGAAGAAAGACCCAGTATAGTGAAAAGGGTAATGGTGAGATTTCCATACAGGAATCATTAGGAATTCATTGGCCGGCCATTGCTGTCGGTTGAAATTTATAAAATCGTTTTCTTAAAACACTTTTTTGCAGGAAATTAGATTTCTCAAGTTAACTGTTATCGCTCTTTCTGATAATCGTAGCAGTTTCTTTCCAAACCTTTTGTTTTCGGTCGTGTGGAAATTTAACAGTTTCATTGTATCATTTTCTCTTCCGGTTAATCACTTTTGCTGATTCCGCTTTTGGAAGAATTCAAGATAAGCGTTTTTTTTGTTATTTGATATAGTTGTGTTCGCGATCTAGTCATGTCAGTATATAGGATGTTTCTTTAAGGTTTATGGGATTTAATCGTTTGAAGTTATTTTTAATCACTACTCTGAGCAAAAGATTCCTGGTTGAAAACTTAATAGGAGTCAATAAGTTTGCTTATCGTTTTGTTCAGACTTCACGCCGGTCTTTTGAACAGGAGTAGAGGTTTATCCCTTTGTTTCCTGTTTAGGTTTGGGATCTGGTTCCTTTTAAAGTCTTCTTATTCTCTTTCATTCCCAGGAGTGTCTAAGTGTCATTATCACCTTGCTTGGGATGAATTGATTATAAAATAAAATTAAACTAATTCCTTTCTCTTTGTGTTTTGTACAAAGACGAATGAGACTGAATGAATATGTAGTATCATTTTCAGGTTTGTCTTTCATCATGACTTTGAGCTCAAAGACAAAAAACACATATTGAATTTTCAAAGACGCTACTTCGCAACGATAGCTGAATTGCAGCCTTACTTCGTAATGAGAGCTGAATTGCATCTCTACTTCGGAACGATAGTTGAATTGCATTTCTTCTTCGTAATGATAGAGGAATTGCATCTTTACTTCGCAACTATAGTTGAATTACATCTCTACTGTGCAACGATATCTAAATTATATCTCTATTTCTTAACGAGGCCTGATTTACATCTCTACTTCGTAATGAAACCTGAATTGTATCTATACTTCGTAACGATAGCTGAATTACATTTCTAAAATATAACGATAGCTGAATTATATCTCCGAATTTTGAGAACGCTTTATATATTATAATTCTTCTTCTATGTTCTGCATCTCTTCATGGCATTGGCGGTCATGACTCTCCAAACCTCCTTATTTCTTGTGGCTCTTAGCAGACTTTTATTTTTTTTACTTTTGATAAGGTTGCACCACCCGTTCCGCCATCAATTCACACAAGCATGTCAGGTAGGTGACTCGCTGCCCCTCCTCCTCAGTATTCTCTGTGATGGTTAAGTTTTTCAATGTCCTCTTCCTTATTATGTATCCGAGGAATTTCAACTGCCTCTTCCTGATTCTGAGCATAAGTAATTTTGTTGCCATTTTCTTCCTCGGTGCTTACTCGCTTCATCTATGGAAATCTCAGTATCCTTCTGTAGAACCACGCATAATCTTTAAACAAACACACCCACATTATGATCTGAGATTGAATTCACTTTGGTTTATCACCGTCATAGTCTCGGTGGAATGGTAAAAAATGGTTGAAGTCCCAGAGGACGATAACAGAGACATGTACTCATTTTGTACATTCAGAATTTGAGACTAGTGACCCGAGCGTGGGTTCATAGATACACTATGGCGGCAGTGCAAACGTATGTCCGCGACAGATACGGGAGGAAGAGGCGCGGGTTGTTCGGCTTGCAGAGCGCGAACTGGGGTCCTGGCTGACACGTGGCATCTCCAGAGAGAGAGAGAGAGAGAGAGAGAGAGAAAGAGTCGATCTCTAACTGCAACGTCCACGCATGATCGACACTCATTTCTACATCGCCAATTTTAAGCCATGTAAGGATGAAGGAAAACAAATGCTTTCAATCAGTCTTAGAAAAGAACGGACGCGCGAAGTGACAATAAAAAACACAACTGCTCTCTTATACGCGGTTTCACTTATCCACGTTCACCCCCCCCAATGCCTCGTATATACTTAATAATGGTTCTAAATAGTAAGATTAATAATATTCGAAATTCTGATATTCCAAATAGAAGTTTCAATGTGCTTTCTTTAAAATTTGAATGTTCTTGACCGAAGGGAATAAAATATCGTATGCTGAGGTGGTTGAGATCAAGAAGAGCGTTTCTATATGTTATCTAACTTTTATTTATAGAATAAGGTGTCCATAACCTCATTACAAAAACGTTAGAAGAGATGGCAACTAAAATTTTCTAGTATAGTGCCGAAATAAACATTATCAGCAACAGGCCGAATCCTCTCTTCATGTTTTTCCTTCTTTCGAAAATGTTCCATCAACTTTTCACACCGAAGCAGAAAGGGCTATGAATGTTTCACACACAAACACACCTACACAGACAAGTCACACCCAAATACATTAACAATTTTCGTTGTGTATTCCATTTATTTCTCGGTAAAGAACTCTTAAACTTTACCCTTGTTATTTTTGTTAAATCTTACTTATTATAAAACACAGATTGTGTGTGTGTGTGTGTGTCTGTACGTTTATATATTGGATCGGATTTCCTACATTTTTCAACCGATTTCAACAAAACTTCACAGGACTACGTAAAATTACCTTGCGGTGGTTCTGACAGCGCCAAAAATTGGAAAAACACAATTGTTTTTGCACGAAATCAATTTGAAAACACGATTAAGAGGCATTAATGAAAGGGGGACAACTCATATCGAGTTATACTTATTAATATCGAGTTATCGAGTTATACTTATTATAAAACCCAGGTTGGTTGTTTGTGTGTGTGTGTGTGTTCGTTTATATATGGAATCGGATTTCCTACATTTTTCAACCGATTTCAACAAAACTTCACTTTTTTTTGGCAGGTAGTGTTTCTCATTGTCTTGCACACTTTTTTCTTTATTTTTACATTCAGGATGCTTTAAAAATTCCATTTACAAGACAATTGTTTATAATAAAATTCTATTCAATCGGTAGACTCATAACGATTGAAAACAATGTTTTTGTTTGCGTTTGACCAATTCGTCAAAAAACAAAAACAAACTAAAACAAAAAACAAAACAAAAAAAAACTAATTAAGACATGCGTGTCCGTCAACCTTAAATAATAATCTTTGTCAATTTTATTTTTCAGTCTTTATGATGGTCGATACTTGATCTATCTCTTACTGTTACATCCCCGGTCAACGCCGGGCTCTACTGCTAGTAAATGCTAATTTGTATTGCAAATAAATCTGTCTCTCTTATTTTGTGTCCATGCACGATTTCATCACTATTCATGTATTGATAAAATATTCGCGTAAAAAATGTTATACATTAATTATAGAAGCCAACACACGATAGATAGATAGATAGATAGATAGATAGATAGATAGATAGATAGATAGATAGATGCAACCCTACCATAAAACCTGCAGATTACTTTTGTGACAAGGTTTGGAAGTCTGTTGCAAGATTCACATATCATATGAAAGTACACAGAGATTGGCAATTTTCCAACATAGATAACACAGACAAACTTTAGGTTTTCCACTTGTTTAAGCGAAGTTATAAAAGTGAAGCTGGACTTAAGAATCACTTCCGGGCCAATAGCGGAACATTAACTCGGGTAAAGCTACCAAGTGAAGAGATGGTATTCTTCTCCAAAGTATAGATAGCATTTATAGATAGATAGATAGATAGATGGTGTGTACATAGGAATCATCACTGAATGGTGGCTATCAGTTTCATTCCTAAAGAGGGCTGAGGCATGTAATTGACAATCGCAGTGTTGATACTAATGTCCATGTTATCTAAATCTAAAATATCTCAATCACCGATACTGAGCGCCCTTCCTCCATAAATATCAACAATTTAAACCTCTCTCTGTCTCAAACTTCTCTTTTGTTATTTATTAAATAAATATTATTTTGTATAGCAAATCAATCGGTCTCTATTATTTTGGGCATCTACTATTTCACCACCATCATTTCATGTAATTTGATTTCGTAAAGATCTTATACATTAATTATAGATATGGCCAACACACTGAAGTTGCATATTAATATAGCATTATTAAATTTGTTTGCTTTATTAATTCTGTTTAGCGGCACATCAACCTCTATGGGTTATTTAATGCCTACAACTACAGATAAAATGTATCGCTGGGTATTTTACTATAAATATCTATTATTGGTCGTTTTTTTATATAAACATATATTTTTATACTTTCATAGTTTTTGTTTGGGGTTCACTATTTACCCAGAGCTGGGACCCCTAACAGGTGCTACTACCCCGGGCCAAGCTGGACCTGGGAACAGCAACAATTAAGAGGTGGTCCCCCGCCCTTCATAATCTCTCGATCAGAGGCTTTGCTGCCGGATGTAGTTTATCGTCATACCCAGAACTGAAGTCGAGATGCCAGGTCAGGATCGATAACATTACAGACCCCTATTTGTATTTTATCGAGAATCTTGAGATATATAATCGGACCACCAGACAGGAATACGGCAGCAATATTCAATGCTGAGAAGAATGGTTGATTTATAAATGTGCAGGTTGGATTCTGACGAGAAAAAAAAAAAAATTCTGCCACAAATCAACCGTCTTTGCAGCATATCTAGCAATTTAACATGTATTGTTGGTAATTCTATAATAAAATGTATTGGTCATTTTACTATAAATATATATTGTTGGTCATTTTGCTATAAATATGTATTGTTGATAATTTTACTATAAAAATGTATTGCTGGTCATTTTACTATAAAAATATATTGTTGGTCATTTTACTATAAAAATGTATTGCTGGTCATTTTACTATAAAATGTATTGCTGGTCATTTTACTATAAAATTGTATTTTTATAATGTTTCATTTTTGTTTGAGGGTTCACTATTTGCCCATAGCTGGGACCCTAACAGGTGCTACCACCCATATCAGGGTGAATCTGGGAAGAACAACAATTAAGTGGTGGTAGCACGCTTCTTAAATACCCTATTCTCCCGATCAAATGCCTTGGTTCCGTGTGTAGTTTATCGTCATACTCGGGACAAAATATTATTAAAGTTCTTTTAATGATATTAATAGTTTTAAGAATGTTATATTTTTATGTTTCAAACTGCAATTAATATTGTTATTTTCCAAATTGTAATAAAAGTGGAGTTACCCGTAAAATTGGATGCTCTTCGACCAATGAACGGGGGTCATATAGACATTTATTAACTATTTGTATATAAACTTCTCCATTTACTACATATTTTGTAAGCATTTCAACAATATCCAGTTTCAGTTGTAATTTCAATAATTTTTTTCCATTTTTCCAATGATTTGTGGAGAACCTGCATATTGTTCCATTGTATTATTAGATCTTGTGAAGGTCTTGTTGAGCCAAATGAAATATACAGTTAGAATGAATCTTCTGCCACACAATTTTATTCCAGAATATTGTTCTATCTTATGATTACCTATTGTTCATAGACTATGAAAATAAGCTTTCTGTCATATAACTTATATTATAGTCTATTGTTATAATTATTCTATTTTATTAGTAGTTATTGATTTTAATCTCTTATTGTGCCTAATAAGATCTACTTTAAGAACGAATCCTGCATCCACCACATAACTTTATTAGTCTATTGTAATAATTGTTCTATTTTATTATTAGATATTGTTGTTAATCTCTTATTGTGTTTCACAAGATCTACTTTAAGAACGAATCTTCTATCCGTCACAATGACTTTTATTATAGCATATTGTTATAATTATTCTGTTTTATTATCACTTGGTGTTGTTAATCTCTTATTGGGTCTAATAAAATCCATGGTAAGAACGAATCTTATTTATTACAGTTTATCGTTCGATTGTTAATTTTTATTATTAGTTATTTTTCTAATCTCTAATTGTATTCAATTTATTAATTGTACTTTATGATATGTATCCAATGGTTTATGTATAGGAAAATGATAGTATCGTATTGTAGCACAAAAAACTTCTGTTTACTTTTAATATGACCTTCGCTAGGGTTGAGTAAATAACCCAACTATTATTATTATTATTAATAATAATAGTAATAATAGAAGCTAAAAATATATGGCTTATGAGTTTGATTAGAGGAGTTAATATGTATGTTTTGTCGTGATGATGTAATATGGGCCACATGAAATATCCCTTTCAGTTTTCCAGATTTACTTGTTAATTGCATGACCATAACGAATTGGGCGTGTCCCCGAGGGGCTGATGCATTGTGCATCTCTTTTCATGAACTGGAGTAGCAGGGGAGCACCATAGCCTGTTGGAGGAGGTATTTTTTTAAGTTAAGAGAATGAGTCAGCCATGTTGACGTTGGATGCACATCTGGATAATTGGGAACATTACTTGCGAACATTTGAAAGGTTATCGACTCTATATTTCTAACTGGCCTACAACAACATATACTCTGTTTTTATCACGCCCTGCCACCATAACACGTACATTTGGCTGTGCTGCATGTACTTGGTATGCTCTTATGAGACGAGGTGTTAGGGTAGTTGTATCGGGTTTTCTATACTTGTATTGCAGGATCACTTTGTCGGCGTGCATAGAACAATAATATATTAATAGGTATGTATTTCTGGTGAAACAAGTATATAGCTTAGAATTTGTTTTCGTTCCGCTATTTTGTATGGTTCAATCCCTGGACAGGGCAGTACATAATTAGACTCATCAGGAGCAGCAATAACGGAGCAGTACTAAATAAGTGCAAAATCTAACGCCTCGCGACATTCACGACAGAAAGAGAAAAAAAAAATACCCCGTAAATTAAATATAAAGGTTCAATTCGAAATAACCCTGAAAGTCACACGGATTGACAGATGCTTGAAGATTGCCGGAAGACAACTGAAACGCTTTGAAAACATGAAGAGATTAGTCCTAATTCAAATAATTTAAAACAAGAAAAAAAGCTAATTTATGAAGCCAAAGTTTGCTCTGACCGATAGCCTCATATTCAAGACAGATAAGGATATTAGTGATAACAATCGCTATAAGTCATTTTTGATGATGTTAAAAATCAGGTGTTCCGGTGACTAGTTCCATCTATACAGAGGTAATTTCTTTCTTGGAGGGATTAATATTCATGTCAAAATATTCAGGACGCGCACTAAACATGAAGTCAATTTGTACACGAATACCGTATTTTCCGGCTTGGAAGACGCACCCTAATATTGGAAAGAAATTTCTAAGAAAAAAAAAGTCATTCTCATACAACAACACATTCACCGCACGCCCCTCACATATTGGCGCCACCTATTGTTTGCATTAATAGCTATTCCTATTTTGATTATATGGCAATGACATACAAGTCAAGAGCAGAAAGGTTTCCATCATTGCTAAACATAACATATTTACGGTTGTGGCTCGACTCCAAGAAGATTTATAGTCTTGGAAATACAAGTAACAGGTAATTACTGATTCTTGTCCCATATATACTATATTTTCAGTCTTACAAGACGTTATTCTTTTCCCTAAAAATACCCTGAAAAATACGTGTGCGTCTTCCAAGATGAATGTAAGGCAACGCCCAGGCTCAAGTAAGCTTGGACGGACAGGCACGTGGACTTGTATGTTGAGTCATTACACTATAATGTTACCCTTCTATCTAATTCAGCCTTTTATATGATGTAACCTCAGTAATTAGCTGTTACTTGTATTTCCAAGACTATAAATCTTCCTGGAGTCGAGCCACAACCTTAAACATGTTCTATTTACTAGCAGCAATGGAATCTTTTCTGCTCTTGACTAGTATGTCATTGCCATATAATTAAAATAGGAGTAGCTATTAATGCAAACAATAGGTGGCGCCAATATATGAGGGACGTATGGTGAATGTGTAGTTGTATGAGAATGACTTTTTTTTCTAAGAAATTTCTTTCCAATATTAGGGTGCGTCTTCCACACCGGAAAATATGGTTCATTGTACGGGGTGAAATATTAGTAAATAATAATAATAAAAAAAAAAAACTCAAAGTATCACGAAACAGAAAAAAAAAAAAAAAATTAGGAACAAAGAATTCTGAACTGTTATGGAATATCAGTCCTCCTGTAAGGAAATGAATGCGGAACTATGTGCTTACAGAAGAAAATGAGTCAACAGAAACGTGCTTCTACAGAAGAATGCTGGAAATAACATGGAATACGTGAATAATTGCTGTGGAGTCATTTCGCAGTGGAGGCTTGTATTTGTACTAAGTCGGTTTTAAAATAGGTTCGACGTACAAAACGTCAGGAACTTGATATAATAGGTATTACGCAGAGTAATCTTGTTGTGGTCACTGACTACTTTCGTATTCGACTACCTGTCGTCCGACATCGACTAGTATTTAGTCACCACCACACGAGGGTATCATGTGGTACAAGGCCGGTTTAACGTGGGATCTCCGAGTCCGTGGGCTCGTCGAAAAATATACCCTTTGAACCCGTATAAACGGGTTCAGGGTCGGTTTATCTCCCCGAACGAGACTCCGTCCTTTGGCGTAGCCACGTTCGGGTTCCTCCCTACCCGAAACAGAGAGTTCAACCGTTCGGCCGGTCGTCTGACATCGACTAGTATTTAGTCACTCTCCCTCCCACGAGGGTATCATGTGGTATAAGGCCGGTTTAACGTGGGATCTCCGAGCCCGTGGGCTCGGCCAAAAATATACCCTTTGAATCCGTAAAAACGGGTTCAGGGTCGGTTTACCTCCCCGAAAGAGAATCCGCCCTTCGGTGTAGCCTCGTTCGGGTTCCTCCCCACCCGAAGGCAGAGAGTTCAACCGTTCAGCCGGTCGTCCGACATCGACTGATCGTCGTTTCTCTTACTACTCCTACTTATATTAGGTGGGAGAGTCTATTAACTATAGAATAGGTGTGTTTCACCATAACAGTAATTAAGAAATTTTGAGGACAATGGAAACAAAAGGACGTTTATACTTAGAAAGAGACAGTTAAAATTCCTAGGACACATTAAGGAAAGACGACTTGCAGAATTTAACACTCACAGGACATATTGAAGACAAAAGGGATAAAAAAAATCACCAATTAACTTTCTTAACAAGTGGATGGCAGAATCGGAATTGGGGAGGATGTTTGGAAAGACAAAGCTTGTTAAGAACTACAACAAATAGGAAGTTATGGAGAACTGTTTCCCACGTCCTGAAGGGACAAAGCACATAGGAGAAGAAGACAGCGTATCTCAGACTCATATAACAAATCTAGCCGGAGTGTATTGAAGAATCTTAGTTTCATGTTTCCAAGATGTCCGAAAGAGCGAAAAATAAAAAGGGAAGATGTTACGAGTTTATCGGTGCCATAGCCAGAACGAAACCTTAAGTAATAATCTATAATCTATTGGTTATCTATGAAAAAGAAAAACTGAAAGTGCAGATCATTGGAACATTATTTTGCTTGAAAAAGTCCAAAAAAAAAACCTAACAAACCAAAAACAAAAACAAAAAAATCAAAACAAAACAAACAAAGAAACTAATGGAGCACCTATGAGCTAAACGGTTGCGTAGCTATGACCTACGGCAGTAAACTTGTGATTTTAATGTCTACTTCTATATATTAAAAAAAAAAAAAACGGTCGGCAAAACAGCCCGTGGCTTTTATCAAATTGATAATTTTGATAAGTTTGTCGTTTTGTATTTATAGTAAGCTACATGAACTAAAACCAATGATGGAAAAGAACCAACCTACCAATCAGGGAAAATTTTAAATTTTAAATAAAAAGCTGCATTTTAATGAAAGTTTTCAACAGAATATGGTTGTTTAGAGCCCTTGGCAATCTTTAATATATATGTATTTACGAGAAAAAATATTTTGGTAAAAATTCTAAAAATATGTTTTCGAAAATAAGCAAGTGATTTAATATACGCGCATGCGCATTCATCAGGAAACTTTATATATATATATATATATATATATATATACATACATACATATACGTACACACACACAAATGTATATGTTTATAGATATATAAGTATGTACACACACATGTGTTTATATATATATATATATATATATATATATATAAACACATATGTATATATATATATATATACTCATAAGATTCTATTTGATTATTAAGGAAATCGAAAATTACTTTTTATTTAGACTTACAAATGCGTGGATATATATTTTAGTCTGGAATTTTTTTTCTTTTGTGCAGAAAAAGTTGCGTGATAGTTACAAGCAAAAGATATGCATTTAAAAAATATTTATCATTACATTAGGTATTTATATATATATATATATATATATATATATATATATACATGCATAAGAAATATATTATTTCTTTAATGGTATGTGGTTAGAGAGGTAAACATCTACTTTAGAGGCGTATATAATGGTTAATTTCAAGCAGAAAAATATGAGTCAGGGTTAAAAAAAAAATACGCCATGGCAAGGCAAGACTTTATCAGAACTAGATTTGAAAGTCGACGTACATTACACTTTGACACTCACGAGCGTAAGTAGACACAAATAATATATGTATATAAATCATTTTATTCGCTCTCTCTCTCTCTCTCTTACTTACACACACACACACACACACACACATATATATATATATATATAGAGAGAGAGAGAGAGATAGATAGATAGAACTTGATGGATTGGAGGATCTATATTTATGACTATATTTATTATTAATTATGGAAAACGTTATGTTTAATGGTACCCGTATTTGAGTAGACATCACTTAAAAAAAACAAAAAGATGCACAGAACAGAACAGCGCGAATTACACCTACAGGGAGATAGATAGATAGATAGATAGATAGATAGATAGATAGATAGATAGATAGAACTTTTGACAGGGATATGCACTCGAGAAGCTCGGCAAATCAAAAGAGCCTTCCAGCGGGATTCGAACATGGATTTCCTTTTGTAGGAGGAACCGCCGTCTGATCCTCCAGGCCATAGAGAGCTTTACAGACTAGCAAGGTTCAATTACCCTCTGATGCATGACTTTGTTCAACTATTGATCACACCAGGTTATGCATTTTCCCACAGAAGCTCTAAGGCCAGCATAGTTGCAGTATAAACTAGAGGTTGGCTCTGTTGAAAAAATACAAATATGTCTGATCAGGTGTCTACAACAGGGATTAGATAACCATGCTGACAGGCGGGAATATTCGGAAACATCATTACCTCTCCATCATATTAGTGATATTAAAAAACTGAGTAAGATAAACACTGTAGTTTTGCTTATTTCTTCTATTTTCTCAAGTAGTTTCAATTTCTTTCAAGACCATCTTCAGGGGTGAATTGCTAAACTCCAAATTAATATAATTGAGAGTTGCGAATTGTTTTGTAAATGCGCATGAAACACCACTTCATTATAAGCAATTTACATTAAGAATATGTAACGGAGGTAACTTAGTTTAAATTTTTTATTCTTAATGTTTTAAAAATACTGAACCTGCAACTTTTTCGAAAAAATGGCACAAAAAAAAATGTTATTTATCATTTGAGCATCCCCCAAAATTGCTTTGATTGCTATACTCATAATTAATTTTATTTAGTGTTAGTTGAGATTTTGCTATAGAGCGCTTCGGGAATTTGATGTTTTTGCTTTTTAATTTGATGGTGGAATATACTTGTATTGTCAACTAATATTTCTCTAAAACGTGAATGTTGAGAGGAATGCTTTTTTAAATATTGTACAATTGAACATGTGTAAAGTTAGCTTTCTTGATAGAGTCGTCGTCGTAAAACCAACATATATATTTACGTTTTTGTCAGAAATAGCATCTCCCAAAGGACATTTAAATTGATATACAATATTGGTCTTTTGCAAAATATTAGTTAATGGGAAGAATTATTCCGGATGATTAAAATAAAAATAAATAGACATTATATATATATATATATATATATATATATATATATATATATATATATATATGCTCCTAAAAAATTATTTCGGTTGAGTTCTCTGGGGAAGAAAGTGTCGGTTTGTAAACAGTGACTATTACGGCTAATAATGCAAGGCTCTTCGGTGAATCGAATCGAGTTCTCTCAGTCACCGTGTGTTTATCTAAAAATAAATACGCTTAAATTCACCTTCATCCCTGTCGTGCGCCAACGTCTTAGTGGTAGAATCCCCGACTGACGCCAGTTCAGTCGGGTTTCGGCAAAGGGGCAACCAGACGTCTAGACACAATGATGAGCTGTGATACAGCGAATCAGTCTGTCAGTGAATATATATATATATATATATATATATATATATATATATATATATACAGAATGTCTGATATGCACTTATATGTTTATTGACAGGCATCATTTAAATATAGAATACAGGAGGTGAATATGAATGAAAATTATAAATAATGTTGTTAAAAAATATTGGGGGCGAAATTTGAATATATATATATATATATATATATATATATATATATATATATATGTATATGTATGAGAAAATGATATATAATTTTTAGATAACAGAATAATGTTAGGAAAGTTAATGAAACATTAACAAATAAAAAAAATATATTCAAATTCAAAATTCCCCTTCATCTGCATGTGTAATTGCATCAGCGTAAACATCGCTGTCATTCGATGAAAACCTCAAGGCCGAAACGCTATTTTTAAAAAAAATTTGCCATTAATTTTCCTCATATATATATATGTGTGTGTGTGTGTGTGTGTGTTGTGTGTGTGTGTGTATATATATATATATATATATATATATATATATATATATATATATATATATATACGTTTATGTTTGTTTCTATTTCTAGCTGCATAATTGTCCGTATCCTTCCATTCTATTCAAAGAAACCAAATTGAGAGCAGAAGTATTATTCGAAACAGAAGCATCAAAAAACAAAAAAACAAAAAAAAAAAAAAAAACTGAATTTTAATAAGGAATTTTTTTTTACAGAAAGGAGAAAGCTTTCATCTTATGTGAATGGTCTTCATAATGCCATCATTTAATAGTTTATCTTTTGTGGATGATAAAAAAAAAGAAGAATCTACGTTCATTATTCCGACATCAATTTAGCCTTTTTCTTCTAATGGTTGTTGCTAAATATAAAAGCATTAATAATGAAATGACTCCATCCCGTTTGATAGACGTACATATATCTACACACGAATACTATTTTAGAAATTGAAACAATGTCCGACAGTAGTTCTTGCTGTAATTTTAACCAATCATCAGATGAAAAAAATATCCGTAAGCTTTTTTATATTGCTCGAGTTACACATACAGACATATATATATATATATATATATATATATATATATGCCAAAAACGAATTTCAAATATTTATATTTTCTGAAATGTGCTGTATTTATGGGTGACGAGCGCTTTTATAGAAACAGAAAGTGTGTGCATCGAATGGCGTCTCTCACTTCAACGTTTCTCTACTCCTTTCACGATTTATATATATATATATATATATAGGTCACTAGGTGATTACGAGAAGTTTTAGAAGGGGGAAACTGAATCTTCGTAGTTCTTTTGGTTTGTGACACATGGATCGAGGAACGCTTCATGTGTGAAAGTCACAGTCATTAAATATTATTTATTTCAATGCCCCTCTCTCTCTCTCTCTCTCTCTGTATATATATATATATATATATATATATATATATATATATATTCTTTATGTCTAATTTTCTCTATCCCCCATATTGAACACTCTTCACTTATAAATATAGCGAATTTTAAACCATGCACACATACACAAAAACATGAGGATTCTTTAAGTGTTGCGTAGTTGTGGCACAAGGCCAAATGATTTTCTCAACGTAGCTTAGATGTGGCATAAGGACGAAAGTGTGGAGTACCCAGTGAGGATCGAACTCACTATTTAACCGTCTCGCTCGGCCAATTACGACTGAACAGTGAGTTCAATCCTCACACTTCCGCCACTGAGAAAATCATTTGGCCTTGGGCCACATCTTAGCTACGCTGAGAAAATCACCATACGCACAGACACAGGTGTGTGTCTGTTTTCTATCGACAAACGTTTTCCATATTTATGTGGCTAAAATTTCTTTCTTCATCAGTTACAAAGAATTTCCATTTTGAATTGCTCTGCGTTATTTGGATTTTTCTCTTTGGTTAACATCTGTCTGTAATTCAGAATTTTTCTTCTTGTAGACTGGTTACCACAAAGTTCAGTTTATTTAATTCCGAGCTGGGGGCTCGGGGAGAAGAGATGAACGCATGTTTTTTCGCGGGGCATCAGTGCGAAAGTGAAGGCAAAAGACGATCCCCAATTTTCATTTTCGGTGCAGATATTCATTACACGAGATAAACACCTGTCTGTAGGCCTGACCATTAAAATTAATTTTTATTTTTTTTTAATCATAACACTCCAAGCATGGCGGTAAAAATCACTAAGATGCAAGCGATCACTGAGAGTGAAAAGGGGGCAATAAAAGAACAGGATTGTAGGAGACAGAAGATGACAACTGATAGTGAATTTTTTGAAGGTAATAGGAAAGCAAACAGCCGGAAGAGAGTATCCTACGAGAGAATTTCGAAAGAAGAAAATATTAGCATAGAACTTACGGTTACAGCCATTAATTTCAACATTGAAATTATGAGACCTAGCTGCCAATCCAGAACTGGTTATATTCTTGAAAGCTCACCAAAAAATTATCGTGAAAATATTGATAGAAAACATACGGAGCAGGTACGTCACGGTGGTAGGGAAATAACCTGAGTTGAGATTCCAGGTCAGTACTGATAACTGTATATATTCTTCTTTGGATTTTGTCAAGAATCTATGGATATATAGCAGAAGAAAAAAAAAAACAGATCAAAATGGTAGACTTATAAGAGGGGCAAGATAGATTCTGTCGAGAAGAATTGTCTAGCATCGTGAACCAAATTTTCTAGCTGCAGACTTAGCAATTGATTCAATAGAATTCTTCCACTTCATATCAGGGGAAAGCTTGAAACCAAGAAGCCGAAGTGAGTCGCTCTCTTGGCAGAGGAAAACGTGAGATGAAATCTTCCTGGTGTTCAGTGCATTTCTCTAGATATTATCTCAAAACGCACACATTTATATATATATATATGTATATACACGTATATAAGCCGGCTTCGAGTATAGTTTGACATCTGATTTTTTTGCGTGAATTTTAACCACTCTAGAAAAGAATTACCTGACAATTATCAGCAGAAAAATATCTTCAATTTTTTATCGTATTTTTATCGGAAAATGGCGTTAGACTATGAATTTAAACGTAGTACGAGATTGGAAGCAATGTCTTATCATTTCACAGTTGAAATGGCGAGATGTAACCGTACGTTCTATGCTAAGAGTTTCTTTCATCACACTTCTTATTTGTGGAACTCTTTTCCGGCTCCATGATTTCCAGCCAACTTTGATCATCAAAAATTTTAATGCAATGTCAATCGTTAAATTCTCTCTTCTTAATTCTTGCTCTTTTCTCCTATCTCCTTAATAGTAGTTTTTATCATATACTATAACACTCAGTAACCCCTTGCGTCCTAGTGGCTTTATTGCCTTGATTAAAAAATAAGGTACAACCGAGAAAAAAACCCCGACCATCATCAAAATCATGGAATTCAATATTCTTGAATTTTCATTCTTGTTAAATGTTTTCCATAAACATATATTGTATAACTTATTGAAATTGATTACCGTAATTCCTCATGTATAATACGCCTTCATCCATAATACTCACCCCTAAAATCGTGCTGAAAGTGTAGGAAAATGCTTCTACTCACGCATAATACGCATCTCTTGTTTGGTAATCAAATCCTATAAATTGTACGTCTCCAATTTAATTACGGTAAGCGTTTCCTA